CCCTCCTGCACAGCCCCCCATGTCCCAGGCATGGGGACCCTGGAGGCACCCCACTACTCCCCAGGCAGGCACAGACCTACCAGTGTCAGGGCATACATGAAACACAGCCCGATGGCAATGGGTGTCCTCTGGCCAGCACCCCTGTGCAGCTGCCCATTGCCCAGCCCCAACTGGGACCAGTCCTTCACAGTCCCCTGTGGTGGTACTTGCATGAAGAAAGACCTCACAGCCCGCGCCCAGCTCCCCAGGGGCATACAGCCCCAGACAGTCCACCTCGACCCCCAGCCCTGGCATGGGGTGGCACGGGGTGCTAACACCCATCTGGGGATGTGTGTGTCCCTCCAGGTGTGCAGTACGGACAGGTGGGGACAGACGTGACCCTGTCGTGTGCCAGTGCCCGTGCCGGGTAGGTGTTTTCCATGCACGCTGGCGGATTTATCCGATGGGATGGTTTACAGGGTGGGCCTGGGGTGACCCACCATCCCTGTCCTCTAACGTCGCCTGCCCTGTCTCTCCTCCCCAGCTCACCAGTGCAATGGAGACGGGCAGGTGCCGCGATGCTGCCGGAGGGCTCAGCCGTCTGGCAGGGAGCCCTGGTGCTGCCGCATACCAGCTTGGCCAACGCAGGAACCTACAGCTGCCATGGCGAGGATGGTGGCCTCCTGCATGCCGTGTCCCTGCGGCTGGGCTGTGAGTAGCGTGTCTGTGGGCTGGGGTATGGGGGATGTGTGGCCCCACACGAATGTGCCAGCGGTGCCGCACCCCTGACAGGAGCTTGCTAAGAGGGGACTTTGCGGTGACACAGGGGAACCTGTGTGCTGGCTGGGCTGCAGGATTGGGGACCCCTCACTGACTGTCGCTTCCCCCCACAACCTCAGACCTGCCGGGAGTCCCCTTTGTGTCCTGCAGAGCATCTGACTACGAGAATTTCTCCTGCTCCTGGACCTCCAGCGTGGAGACCTTCCTCCCCACCAGATACATCACCACCTACAGGTGTTATATCCCGACAGGGCACGGGCTGGGGGGTTTAACAGGGTGAGCCCTTGGTTCCAGCCAGGGATAACCACCAAATCCTTCTGGCCGTCTGACTCACACCCTGGGTTCACCTCCTGCCCTAAGGACCACCTCCTGCCCTAAGGACCATGCTGCACCCTGGAGCAGGTCATACTTTGGGAAAACAGAGCACTGAGCATTTGCTTGCTTCAAGGAGGGTCCCCCAGCAGTGTTGGGGGCCTGGCATGGGCAGGCTCCTTCCCTGCTGACTGCTCTGTCAGCACCAGAGGAGCTGTAAAAGAGAAGCAGGTCATCTGCAAGCTGCCAAGCGCTTCGACATGCTTTGGGATGAAAAGAGTCCTGAAAGCATCACTGCTTCTAATTATCCCAGGCAGGCCAAATTAGCGGGCTGCTTTGAAGTCAGCTGGAGCTCATAAAGCACAGCCCTGCTGAAAGCTGCAAGGGCTGGGGGCTTGGTGGAGAGGGGGCTGCCTGGATCATCAGGGGCTCAGGGGGGTGGGAAGCAGGGGGCTGTAGTGGGACAGTGAAGCCAGCTACTGGGGAACTGCTTTTATCAGTATCCCTGTACCTTTGTTGCTGCTCTGTGATGAAACCCTGGGCAGGGGAGGGGGATCCTCTGGAGAAGACCTTCCTGGGCACCCCATCTCATTCCCCTGGGACCCCCAGCTCCTGCTGCCAGGCTGCTCACTGTCAGGGCTGGGCGTGGTTTTAACTCTGTCCCCCATGCCATGTCACCCATGTGCATCAATGTGGGAGTGGGGGGCTGCTCTGCAATGTGGAGACCCCTGTCCCTCCTCTGGGTCATGGTGAGGTCATGGTGTCCCCCCATCCTCACCGTCTGCTTTTCCATCTCTCTCTGTGGCAGGAAGAAATCACTGACAGGAGAAGAGAAGCGGAGGTAGGGCTGACTTCCATCCTGATCCTGCTCCCTGGGCACTTGCCCCTGTCCCAAAGCCTCTGCTACGGTCCTCAGTGGGGTCCCCAAAGCAAGGGCTGGGGGTCCCCATGGAGGACCCATCTACCTAAACCTGGGGGCCTGGGAGAAGGGTTTGCCCCAGGGAAGGACCTTCCCAGGAGAGACTGTGGGTCTGGGATGGGTGTCCCTTTGATCATGCTCAGAGGGATGTGCTGGGCTCTGGAGGGGTGAGGGCAGCTGAGCTGTAACAGGGGCTGCCTCCACCAGGCTCTTGGCATGGGAGTCTCCCTGCATGGCACCTCCTTGGCAGCAGAAGGAAACTATGCATGGTGGGCAGGGGGGGCATGTCACCACCCTGCCTCCTCGTCTGCAGGAACAAGAACGGGCACATGGGGCCATGCCTGCAGGACCCATCCCGCCCCGGCACCTGCACCGTCCATGGGTCAGAGTTCTGGAGCTCCTATCGCCTGAACATCACCGAGGTGAACCCCCTGGGCTCCAGCTTCCGCCTCCTCGATGTCACCATGCAGGCCATCAGTGAGTCCCCATCCATCCATCCGTCTATCCCAGTGTCTGTCCATCCCGCGAGCATCCAGTCCTAGGCAGCAGTGGGGAGCCCAACACCCCTCTGCTTGGCCATCTGGTGTGATGAGGGCTCCCTGTCCTCTCCCATGCAGTTAAGCCAGACCCTCCAGAGGGCTTGGTGGTGGAGCCCATCCCCCTGGCCCCACGGCGACTCCATGTGAGCTGGAAGTACCCCTCCTCCTGGCCCAAGGAACCCCACTTCCAGCTCAGGTTTCGGCTCCAGTACCGGCCTGTCATCCACCGCTCCTGGTCCGTGGTAAGTGGTGAGCAAGGAAAGACAAAGGCGGCATTGGAGCAGGGTGGGCACGGTGGGTGACAGTGGGCAGTGAGGGGTGCCTACCCACCTACCCCACAGCTCCCCTCTGCCTGGCGCAGGTGGAGACGGTGAACCTGTCTGAGGTGATCACGGATGCCTTCACCGGGCTGGAGCACGTGGTCCAAGTCAGTGCCAAGGATTTCCTGGATGCGGGGAACTGGAGCGAGTGGAGCGCCGAGGCCCGGGCAACGCCGGTCAGAGGTGCGAGGGCAACAAGCTGCAGCCCCCGGCAGCCCTACAGGGTTGCGCCATCCCTCCCCAAATCCTTTCCAGCACCCTGGGTTGCCCCTCTCCAACCCCTTCCCCATGGCACCCATTCCCCCAAATATCACCCAGAGCAACTCCCTTAAAGTTAACCCAAAAAGCTGGTCCTATGCACCATCCAAAAGCTGGCCCCGTGGTAGGAGGCAATGCTGCAAGGGGGCAAAGCATCTCCGAGCCCCATGGCAGGCTGTAGCTGTGCTGCTGCCGTTTGGACATTGCCCCCCAACAGCCTTGGGCAGAGCAGGGCTCCCAGAGCACCACTAGCACCCCGAGGGCACGCCTGGGCTCGTGGGACCCCTGGGGCACACGGGCACCCTTCTTTGCTCCTCTCTTGTGTGTCCCTGGAGTGCTGTCTGTGCTTTTGGGTGAGTGTCTCCCATCCTCTCTGTCCTTCCAGACCTGGCCACCACAGTGCGTGAAGAAACCACTACAGACACCAGCCTGGAGAGCCTGGGCGACGAACCCTCCCAGGCTCCCAACCCTGAGCCCATCAGTGAGTAGAGCTGGCGGTGGTGGACAGGAGTCCTGGGCTGGGCACACATATGGCTGAGAGTAATGAGAAGGGTCTCTTGCCCCATGCCTATGTGTGGCTGGGTTGCTAGGGTGTCCTAGAGGTTGCAGTAGGGTCCCCCAGGTGCTGGGGGCAGTGGCATCCCTCAGCCGTGACAGTCTCTCTCTGTCCCAGACCACAGTGACCCACTGGAGAAGATGGCCGTCCTGGTGTCCCTCGGGATCTTTGCCTTCTTTGTCCTGGCTGCTGTCTTCATCATCACCATCCTCATCTGGTAGGCTGGGTTTTGAGAGGGAGGGGTCTGCATGATTGCTGTCCCCATCCCACTCTGGCCCCCGAACCCTCGGCATGGGGTGCCCATGTACCCCCAGCCCTGCTCTGGGGTTCTTGCCCAAACAGACTTGATGCCAGCCCTGTAAGGTGATTTATGCTCCCCTTGCCCCCCCCTGCCACATCAATGCCTCTTCCCAGCACACACCACTGGCTGCGGTACTGCCCATCCTGCCTGGGGTCTTTCTGATGAGCCCACATCCATGGGACCTTTCTCTGTACCCCCTGAAGATGCTGCTGCTGCTAACATCCCCCCAAAGGCTCCTGCCTTGCTGAGGACTCTCATGCTCCAGAGTCAGCACAGGGACCCCTCCGTATGCCTTTTCCCTTTGGGAGTCCTACCCCTGGGCTCTGTCTGCTGTTCCTGTCCCCGGGTCCCCTCTCATCCTGCCGTGGCTGGGCTCTCCCTGCCGTGCTGTGGCTCTGCTGTTGGTCCCGCTCTCGATCCTAGTCCTGCCCTATCTTGTAACCAGCTCCTGCTGTAGCCCTGGAGCTCACCCGCTGGAGTGGCCGGGCTCAGCTGGCTACAGCTGGGCACAGCTGGATGGGCATGCAAAGCAGGACCACCTGGGATGCAGGCCGTCCTGGTGTCCAGGGGGGCTGCTCAGGGTCCTCAGCCACGACTACTCTGTCCGCAGGCTCCGGGTGAGGAAACACGGCAAGGACAAGACCAAACCCCATAACTTCTTGGTTGCTGCCACCCACTTGAAGGCACTGCCGAGTGAGTCGGGATGCAGGGAGGTTAATGGGGGGGAAAACAGGGGAGGGAGTGCAGAGAGGGGGCAGGTGAGTGCCCCTCCTGACCCTCTGCCCTCTCTTTCGGCAGAGGCCCAGATCCTGTAGTGAGCTCTGGCCGATCCCTGCTCCCTGCACCTGCTTGCCCACGCGTGGGACTTGATGCCACTGTTGGCCCCCAAGGACCCCACACCTCCCGGGTCACCCCACGACCGTGGACATTGCCGGAGCCCCCAGCACCCTGGGGGCGCAGGATGGACCCTAAGGAGTGAGGCTCTGCTCCCAGGAGCTTTGGGCTGCCCGTGCCTGCCAGGAGCCAGCTGGAGGCACCTCGGATTCAGGGCGACGGGGCAGCCCCACTGCCGAATGCTGCTGAAAACATGGGGATAAGATGCTGAGCCAGCCCCACTTCACTGCCTAGTGTTGAAGGGGACCATGGGTGCAGACTCCCAGGGGTGCCGGGCATCAGTGAGCAGGGGATGCTGAGCCCTGCCCGTCACCCCCCACCAGCTGCCAGCAGGCAGAAGGGACCCCCCGCCCTGTCCCTCTGCCCCTCTCTCCCATGCTGTGGCTGGACGGAGCTGTGATGCCAATAAAGGGGGTAGCATTGGCACTGCCCAGGCAAGACCCCCTTGCAGATGATGCTGGGCTAGGGGAGAGGTGAGTGGCATCTGCTGAGATGCCAGCTTGGGAATGGTCCTCAGAGGAGGTGCACAGGCAGCAGGGCTGGTCCCCAAATAGGTCAGCCCCCTTCCCAGGCACCTGGAGGGGCTGAGAGAGGTCCTCGCCCAGGCCAGCCCTTACTGAGTGACAGAAGAGGGTGCAGGCAGCTGCCT